GCAAAAATTAATAAAATAGGGGGAAAAAAAGAAAATAAATAAAACCAAAAATGAAATCTATATGATTCACCACATTAAGCTAATAAAGATGAACTCTTCTAAGTTATCCGTATAGATTAAATAATATTTGATAAAACGTCCAGCAAACTAAAAATGAAGCATCCTGGTAAATTTATTTGTGTAAGAACCTCCTAATAGCAGAATATTGAATCTTTTCTCCTAGAGGTCTGGAATAGGACAAGGAAGTACATCATCACCACTTTTAATGAACATTGCACTGGAAGTACTAACCAGAGCAATGTAGCAAAAAAAAAGAAAAAAAAATATACATATAGAATGTCAAAGAAGTAAACTGCCTTTATTTGAAGATGTGATGATTATATACATATGTATAAGTTCAAAATAACATAAGCTATCCAATTTAATAAGTGAATTTAGCAAAGATGTTGGATAAAGATGAATATGCATAAATCAAATGTTTCTATTGAGTAGTAAAAAAAATAAGTGGAAAAAGAAAAAATTTTAAGTACCCCTTATAATAGCATCAAAATGCACAGAAGATTTAGAAACAAATCTTGTAAAAAATCATGCAAGACCTCTATACTGAAAACTACAAAGTATTACCATGAGAAATTAAAGACCTAAATAAATGGAGAGATATCAGTGTTCATGGTTTTGAAGACTTTAAGTCATTAAATGGCAAGTCTTTCCAATATTATCTGTAAAATCCATGTAGTTCCTATCAGAATCCCAGGATTTTTGTGGAAATTGACACACTATCTCTAAAATTTATATGGAGAAGAAAAGATTTAGGGAGCCAATGCTATACTGAAGAAGAAAGCTGGAGGATTTACACTACCACATATTAAGACTATCTGTTAAAGCTACAGTGGGTAAGACAGTATGGTACTGGCAGTAAGGATAAACAAACATATTAATGCTACACTGCCACATATATATCCAAAAATCAGTACATATATATGTGTACCAAAAAGCATGTGCAAGTTTGTTCATAGGAACTTTATGTTCCTAATAATGAAAAACACCTAACAAACCAAATTTCCATCACAATAAAATGGACAATAAATTGTAATGCATTGATTCAGTAAACTATTTATAGCAGTTAAAACCAAACCAACTCTTGCTTCACACAGCAACATGGATAAATCTCATGACCTACTACTGAGTAAAAGAAGCTAGAAACAAAACAGTCTAGTATTCCATTTATATATTTCAAGAATAGGAAAATTAATCAGTGGTGGTAGAAGCCAGAAGATGGAGTAATAACTGAAAGAAAGCAAAACAGAGTCTTCTGAGAGCCTGGAATTAGTCTGTATATTAGTCAGAGAGGTGTCAATACATATGTGTCTGCTTTGTAAATGTCCATCAAAATATATCCTAATACTTTGTGCACCTTGTTTTTATACCTCGGTTTGAAAAGTTACCAAAAAGAAAAAAAGATTTCAAGTATACAAAGTCCAGAAATAAAATGTAGAACATTGTTGTAACAGAAAGCAGGATCATCTGAGCCAGTCTAGAGGATTCAGGTCCTCTCAAAGGAAAAGTTTTCTAATCCAAAAAATGCAGTTTGAGTTAGCTAGGCAAAAAAAAAGGATGTAAAGCTTTTCAGATAGAGAAAGTAGCATGTTTAAGTGCCTTGATGTGAGAGATGACATGTTATATAAATAGACAAACATGAGCTAACAAACAAAGCTGGAGGAGTCCCATATGGTCAGAGTACAGAAAGCAAGAAAAATGGTGCTTGATGAGGCTGAAATACAAGAAGGGGCCAAATCATGCACTTCAAGACCAGTACATTAAACATTTATCTTAATTTTGTCGTCTTTATAAGCGGGTCTGCCAAATTAAGTTGATATTTTTAGTAAAACTATGCATATTTTTAATAGATTGACTCATTAAAAGTCATCTATTAGTTTTGACTACAGAATGTCTCACAAAATGTTAGAGAGACTTCTTTGTAAGAATCAGCCTGGGTAAATAGTTAAAAAAAATAAAATAAAAAGAAGCAAATTTTGATTCCTACCACAGATCTGGGGAAATAGCTGGAAAGTTGCATTTTGACAAGATCGCCATGTCTACTCTGTTAAACATATGAATCAGCTATTCCTCTCAGCGTATTTGTCTAAGAGAAAGGAAAGGATTTGTCCATGCAACAAGCATGAGCATAAATAGTCACAGCACCTACACTGAGCATGGCCAGAAAACTGGAAACAACACGAATATCTGTTCATAGGTGAGTGGGTAAACAAACAGTATATCCATACAGTGTAATACTACTCCACAGCAGAAAGGTATACACTACTGATATGAGCAACCACGTGGATCAAACCTCAACTGATGTGCTGAGTAAAGAAGACAGAGTAATCAATTATAATTCCATTTATATAAAATGCTTTAAAATGCAAACTAATCTATAGTGACAAAAAGAAGATCAGGGATGGCTGGGGCTGAGGAAGGAGGGGGTGGGGACACGTTCTGCAGGAATCTCAGTGGCAGTTGCACAGGTGTACGTCTCTCGTGACTTCCTGAACTGTGTTCTTTAAATGAATGCAGTGTATTGCATGTAAATTGTACCTCAGTAAAATGGAAAAAAGTTCTGCAGGTGAGTCTTTAACATTCAAGGATGAGAACCATTGATCCACATTGTGATGGAAAAAATGGCTTTAAGTTCATTTAGAGAAAAATCAGTCATTTTTTCTATTATTTAATTTACTGGTTCTGAACTCCTTTAGATAGAAACTTAAAAGTAATGTATATCCTTTAGATTTAAGCTCAACACTCCAAATTTCCCCTGAAATAAATTTGTGTCACTATGTATTATAAAGCAAGGGAAAAAAAGAGTTTTACTAAACTACAGCAAGAAGCTATAATTTTAACAAAATAACATTTTTTTTCTTTATGGGCTAGAGTTTCTTTTGAACTCCTTCACATTGTGACAGAATTTTTTTTTTATAAACAGAAAGGGATGTTGTTTGTTTTTCAGGGTATTTTTTTTTGCAAAAGAATTTAATCAGTAAAAATATGAAATACACATTTAAATATACAGTTGACCAATCCTTGCTTTGACGCTGTTGCCTCTGTAATGTGTTTTTCATAGCTCATATAATTGGTGTTAATATGCTATGTCTATGCTATTATGTTTAACTGAGAAAAATAGTTTGCTGAAAACTGATTTTTTCTGCATACTGATAAATTCAGTAGTCAAAAAAAATTAGAGAAATATAATTAAGGGCTGCAAAATCAATTTGATACTCACTTAAAATGTGTTGAGTGGAGGCAGCAAGCAGCAGCCTACATGTAATGCTGTTCTCTCCTTGTTTACTTCATAAATGGTGCAAATTACAACTTTAATTTACAGAGCTGTTAATGCCTCATTGAAAACTTTCAGCAAGAATCCTATTTTGAATTTTCTTTTTCCCTTGTATCTAATACGCAACATTATCTCTGCTTTGTTGGCATGTGTGAGACAATACATTTAGGAATACTGATCTAAACCACGTGTATGAAAGGAAAGCTTTGCAAACATCACATCCCAGGCAAGGACATGAGCAGTGTCTGGTAGTTGTTTTCCAAAGTGGTTAATTTCTCCATTTACTTTGTTCCTGCTGCTGCTGCTGTTAGTGTCTGTGATGCATGGGACACTCTGTTGGACTATGACAACATACCTGGAATTCAGTAGGCTTGTTCCCTATGCTCGTAGGCCTTATGAGAAGAGAATCCATAGCTTTGGCTGCTCTTAACCATTATAATAGACTGCTGTTTTTTCTGCCTAGTAGTGTGTGATCGCCAAAACCAAAAATCAACAATAAATTTAACAACCCTCAAATACTGGATTAGAAATTAACCTTTAAAAAAAGTCTGAAGGATAGACATAGGTTTGGTAACTGTTTTTGACATTCTTTAAGCTGTTGGTCTAGTACGTAACTACTCCGACTTACCACGTGGCTCCTGCCTCCCATGAGGGATGTGTGGCCACATTCTTTGTAACGTGGACCTTCACTCCACTGATCACAGTTAGTTAGGACAAGTATGAATGTCGCATCAGAGCAGAACTGATCTCACAGGAATTTGGAATTGAAAACCAGTCAGCCTCTCTTACCTCTTGAATAAAACATATAAATTAATTGAAACATACACATTAATTGAAACATATAAATTAATTAAAACATACAAATTAATTGAGAAGCAGAGAGAGAAATACTACTGCAGAGGTGAGAGAAAATGAGAGAGAGAATTAAAGCATAGGAACAGAAAATGGCAGCAGAGATGAGAGAAAGAACATCCCTGAAGGCTTTTCCACTCCCTGTGCATACAAGCACTTTCCCTGGGCTATGTGCCTAGACTTGAGTTCCAGAACATATCATCATCTCTGGATGATAAATTCCTTCCTCTGTTCAAGGTAGCTTTAGTCTGAATATGCAAGCAGAGATTCTTAAAAAGAAGCCACCAGCATGTGGATGGAAGTTGGAGCCATGGGAAAAGGTCAAGTGACTCAGAGTCAAAGATACAGCTTGGGGGAAATAGAAGGCGTTCAGGACTAGATAGGACAAGATGACTAAGAAGGATTAGCCAGACACGTAGATGAAGAACCTGCCTGAGAGCCCAGGAAATTTTCACAAATTAAGTAACAGTCACCAGGATAAAATGTTGCCTAGCGGTCAAGTGGCTAAAAGCTGAAATAGGTGGTTGGATTTTATCATTTTTATATTTCTATGTCCTGCTACCTAACTGTACTATTTTTAAAATATATCTTAGAAATTTTAGACCTTTTTTGAAATTTCCAAGGTAATATAAATTTGCAATAAATACTTGATAACTGGACCATCATAATTTCTTAGGGCTTATGTTCGGAAGATGTGTGTTTATTTTAGCCAATGGCAGTCTTGAAGTTTTGATGAAAGACTTTTGGGTTAGTTTGTCCCTGTATTTTTCACTAAAAAGCCGTGCCAAAGATTTTGCCAAGTACAAAAAAAAAAAATCTAGGTCGGAGCGCTTGAGCTCTGCTGCCGCTGCTGCCGCCGTGACCACCATCCCTGCCGCCACCATGCCGCCCTACACCATTGTCTACTTCCCTGTTCGAGGGCGCTGCGAGGCCATGCACATGCTGCTGGCTGACCAGGACCAGAGCTGGAAGGAGGAGGTGGAGACCATGGAGACCTGGCCTGCACTCAAACCCTCCTGTCTGTACGGGCAGCTCCCCAAGTTCCAGGATGGAGATCTCACCCTGTACCAGTCCAATGCCATTCTGCGTCACCTGGGCCGCTCACTTGGACTGTATGGGAAGGACCAGCAGGAGGCAGCCCTTTTGGACGTGGTGAATGATGGCGTGGAGGACCTCCGTTGCAAATATGCCACCCTCATCTACACCAACTACGAGGCAGGCAAGGAGGGCTATGTGAAGGCACTGCCGGAGCATCTGAAGCCTTTTGAGACCCTGCTGTCCCAGAACCAGGGAGGCCAGGCCTTCATCGTGGGCAACCAGATCTCCTTCGCAGACTACAACCTGCTGGACTTGCTGCTGAATCACCAGGTCCTGGCCCCTGGCTGCCTGGACTCCTTCCCCCTGCTCTCAGCCTACGTGGCTCGCCTCAGTGCCCGGCCCAAGCTCAAGGCCTTCTTGGCCTCCCCTGAGCACGTGAAGCGCCCTATCAATGGCAACGGGAAGCAGTGAGGGCTTGTGGCCCTCTCTGCAGGAGGCAGCGAGCTGCCTGCTTCCCTCTCCCCAGGACCAATAAAATTTTCAGGAGAGAAAAAAGAAATCTATACAATCTATTCTGCAATGGTTAAAATTCTAGGAGAATCCCTTGCTCTTTCCTTGCTTTCTGCTCCGAAAAGGCTGTATTTGTAAACCATGGGTCATTTCTCATCGGAATAGTGAAGGAAGATTAGCTGCATTGTTACTGATGCACTTGACGTTTTCTCTCTGTGTAACATTGTGCCAACAGATTCCTAGCCAGTCTGATAAGATAAAATGTTCATAATACTTAGAGGATAAAAGGGTATCATTGCTACCCAAGATCCCTTTAGGTCCAGTCTCCTGATCTGCATGAGATTACATTTTTCCCTCACATTTACTAGTTCTCCAAAAAGGAAGTCTTGAGATAGCTGCTGGGTTTCTGGCTTGCATTTTGACATTCTAAACAGCAGATAACAATTTTTTTCTGCTCAGCGGATACAAGAGAAGATGAAGGTTTCCTGCACTGTCGTCACTGACTTTGCCAAAATCCTTTCATATTTTCTCTAGATTTGGTCCTGTGGAATAAACTAGTAAGCAGGTTTGACGGTCCAGTTAAATTCCATACGGTCAGCTACCACCTTACATACAGTCATTGATTTTAGGTGAATTGGTCATTGGTTTCATGGTTTGTGTTTCTGGTTTTCTGCTGGAGTTTCCAGAAGCATTCATGTAAATGGAAAGATATTTTATGTAAATAAAATTCAGTAAAATCCTCTTTTACCCATCTCAATCTAATTTAATCCTGTAGGGGGCAGTGGTAGGTTTTCTACTCTCCAGTGTGTTTCTTTTAGTCGTAATTGGAAGAAGGATCATATTTTTCATCAAATCAGAAAAGTTTTAAACATTACCATTTGTAGGTACAGGTAGTATTCATTGACCCACTTCATATTTACTAAGCACCTAATATTTATGGAATGCTGTCCTAGGTAATGTGACTAGAAGAAAAATTAGTACGTTAATTTTACTAATTCTTGCCCTCAGGAGCTCTAATTTATGCTAGTTAACATCTTAGGAAAAGTCAGTAGTGTGATGCTGTTAAGAAGAGAAAAAAAAAAGGCAACTGCTACCCTGTGTTGTATTAACAGAATTGTCAAGGATGAAATAAATAAGCTGGTTATTGGACTCCACTTGGCAATCCTTAGCCCCTGATAGAGGTACCATGTTCCATTTGGGATGGCACACTTTTTAAAACATAGACAAATTTGCCAGAGATTTCAAAAGAGAGCAACAAAAAATGATGAAGGGCTTTGAAAATGGGGCCTCTAAGAAAAGGCTGAGAGACCTGAGGATGTTCAATCTTAAGGAGAGAAGACAGAGGGGACGCATGATAACTGTTTACAGATGCATAAAGGGGCATTACAGGGAGGAGAGGGACCCATTCTTCTCATCAGTCAACAAAGACAATTCAGGAAGTAATAGGTTTAAAACACATGGGGAGAAATTCAGGTTAAAGATTAGATTAAATTAGGTAAAATTTAAATATTTAAAATTTTATGATTCCAGCTGTAATTAAGCTGTGGAGACTAAATCAGGTTAGAATTGGCATAGGAACGTGAGCGTGAAAATAAATCAGATCTGAGTGCAGGGGGTTAATAATGAAAAGAGCTTACATTTGCATAAAATGATAACATATTTTAAAATACTTTCACACGTATTGTTTTACTGATCTCAACAATCTCTGGAAATCATCAGGGAGAGAATCAACTACTTTTACAGTTGAGAAAATGTAATTTCAGAGACATAAATGTTGCTTCCCCCTAACCCCACCCCACCCCCAACCGCAGACTGGACGAAGCTTGTCAGTGGTCTAGGACCAGACAAGCAGGACTAGAAGGTGGCTCTTCTGGTTCTGTCAGTGTGTTTCCCATCGAATCTTTCTACTTTTTCATTCGTAATATGATTTTCATTGTGAGAGTTTATGTTGAATCAGTTGAGTTTTTTGTTTCTTGTCATTTTGGCTTTTAAGGTGCTGAATATGTCTCATGGGTTTCCTGTTTTTTTTTTTCATATTTACTAACTAAGGTAAGAATTGAGTAATGCATAAATTAAAGACCAACTAACAATTTTGTTTACATAAAAAGGACAAGAAATATGATGGAACTTTCATCTGTTTTATCTAAATCTATTATTTGTCTTCCGTTTACAGCTGTGGAATAAATTCAACACTTTGGTTTTAAGTTTTGTCAAATCAGTGCCAAACCAAATATAGTATCTGGAAGCAGTGTGATGTGGTGAGACTCCGCTGTCTACTGTTACCCATTAGTGGAGGCATTTCCATTTCACCGTTTAAGCATGTCACCCTCTTCATCTGTAGAATCAGAACCATAATATCTTCTGGTTTCTTTCAGACTTACAATGAGGATCAAATGAGAAAATAGGTGTCAAAGTCTCTTGACTTGTTCAAAGAAATAAAATATAAGCTGTAAACTAACATCGAGTGGGAGGAAATTTATATTGTTCGGTGTGTTGTGCTTATTTTAATTTGATCTTTTTAATTTATTTTTAAAAATGTTTCTAATTTCAGATTCCTGAGGTCAAAGCAAGTGTCTGATCTAGTATTTAAAATTTACTAGGCTAATATAGATATTCAGTAATCGGTGAGTGGGTGAAGGAAAAAATGGATGAATAAATATTCAGTTGGATGCTAGGAGATGTGAACGAGAGGTTAATATATGTAATAATTTTGATGTGCTCCTTAATGATGTAACCATTTTTTATACACACACACACACAGTGTGTATATATATGTATATATGGAATATATTATATAATGTATATATATAATATAAATAACATTGTATATCAGAGTCAATATGTATATGTAATATAAATAGCATTGTATGTCAGAGTCTCAGATCCTGTGAATACAAGGAACTCAAAAGCCAGTAGAGGAGACAGACTCTCAGACCATTACAATACTTTGTATGAAAAGAATTGTTTTCCCAACAAAGAGGGGTAGCTACACCAAGACTTTGAGAGGAAGGTGATTTCATTGGATGTCCCAGAACTTCACGGAGTCTGAAAAGACTTTTTAGACTCCCTGAAGCATGCAGACAAATTGTGCAGAGAAGTAATCCAGGAGGCAGGCTGAATTGAAAGGCTCTTAGTACGTTTGCTGAGCTTGTGAAGGAATGGAGGAGCTCTAAGGAACTCTGGAGACTCCTGCGATGCTCAGTAGGGCGCCGATCTTCCCCGCAGAGTCGGGAGTACCCCCCAGCAGCACTCCTGCAGGAAGGCTGCAGCAGGATGCTTACTGGGAAGATCCGGGAAAGCTTAATGGCCCCCTGTGCATAATGTTGAAAGAGGCTCTAATTTTTGTTTTCTTCTGAGATTAACGTGTGTATATTGCAAGTTCAAAATGGTAAGAATCTTAATTAGTTGCATAATATGCTTCATGTCTTACTTTTTCTGCACAACAAGTAGTAGGACCTATTTACCAAATTATGAAGGCTGATGGAGAATGAAAACTGTAATTTGAGTAAATGGGATCTCTATCCCAACCCCCAGTATTTTTTCAAAGCCAACCCCAAAGTTTGAAATGCAAAGAAGTAAATCTCCAGAGGGAGCCATTTTATTTCATCTGTGGAGGAAAGACATATGTTGTTACTGATGAAGTCTCTGCCATGCAAGTGGAGCGACCCCAGGAGAAGCTTGAAGTAGGCCCTCTGCCCTTGGCATCCCTACAGCCCAGCTCAGCGCTCTCTCCCTCGGGGGCTGGTGGCCATCACATCTACCCAGGGGCGCTTGTGCCTCTTCTTGAGGCCTTTTCCCAAGGCCTGCTTTTTAGTCCGATCACCTTGGGGCAGTCGCCTGCCTCTCTTCAGTGAATGTGTACCTGCCTTGTGCCCCATCCCTTCAGGCCCCTGATCTGGACAGTAGGCTGATCTGACAGATGTCACTTTGATAGCATGTCAGTGGAAGCAGCATGTTTCCAGGCTTCTCTTGTCCCCGCCAGGACTCTGTTCACTCCCTCTGAGGCCTTCTAGGGATAATTACAGAAGTGAACAAAACACATGAGACCAAATTGCAGCTCAGTGGGAGACAGGGTTTTGGACTAGCTGGCCTTATTATGGTTCTATTCCTAGCTCTACCCACGTGTGAAAGTGCCATTCTTTTTTGGTGGTGGTGGTGTTGTTTCTAAACAAATATTTGCTGAACAGGCGCTGTGCTAAAAGAGCATAAAGATGTCAAAGCAAACAAGCTATAACCCGTGACTTAGGAAGGCAAGGCGGTACAGCACTATATGTAAATATTTCATATAAATCACTCAACCGCCTTCAAAATATTTATTGAGCATCTACTATGTGCCAGGCCCTGCGCTTAGCTCTGGGGAGCAATATGAGCAAAATCCCTGCCTTCCTGGAGACGGCATTCTAATGGGGCGCAGCAGGTGAGCAGGACTCCATGTTAATTATTTGTTGATTCACCAAAACGAAAACTGTATTTTCTTAGTTTATTATCGTATGATCCCTTTTAAACCTCATCTTAAGAAATCCAAATTATCTTTGATAACGTTTGATAAGGATTAGAAAAACCTCCCTGTTTCATTTTGAATGAGTTTGGAGCAGCCCTTACTCGAATTGTTTTGAATTTTTCATAAAGTGAGTTAATTGCCTTTTAGTTGATTTTGTGTGTGTGTTGCAAAAAGTTGGGATGAATAAAAAGATAGAGCGTGACTCTGCGGGGCTTTTTTTAAGGTAAAGTATGCAGTCAGATAGATGCTCATGTAAATTAGAACTCGGGAAAAGTACCAAACAGCAGGATCATATTATCAAAAATCTGGCTGATAGGTTTTGAAGTCACTGAACTGTATCTATTTAGGAAGACTAAATAAACATCGACACTGTGGTCTATTCTAAGACAGGATCTCGCTTTGTCTGTTTTCCAGGTGATAAAACACTGACTGTTATTAGTGTTATCACCAAGCATATTGAACAGTCTGTAAGTTAACAGCAAGACACAAGCATATAGTCCTAGGACTAGAAGGGAAGAGCATGCATTTTTCTCTCTGTTTCTTT